GGAAGAGGACTTTGTGTTTGCCTCTAAATCATATTTCCAGTATTAAAAACTAAAATACTATTAAAAATGATTTTTTAAATGTATCAATAAAAAAAGTATCAAAACAAAGTAAATGTCTAAAACGCTTACTAATTTCATTAGAAATACGTGTTTTTTAAGCTAGTAAAAACGTGTAATAACGTTACTTAAAAAACATGTTTTGCAATTGTCTTTTAAACGCTTATAAATTTCGGTCCTTTTCGATTATAAACCCCTAGCTTTGATGTCTTTTGTAAAGGTCACAGCAGCGTTTTATAAGTGTTTTACTTACATTTGAACGCTTACCTAGCGCTTTTTTATATGTAAATGCTGACTGGGTTATTGAAAATATTTTATTGTAAATGTAGTAATAAAATTTGGATATTATTTACTTGTATGTCAAGTCATGAGGTTGAGCATTTAAGTCTCCAGCCAAAACTTGTAGAACAGAGTCGCCTCTTGTTGCACGAATAAACTGTGCTGTATCAAAAGCCTGAATTACCCGATGAGTTTTGTAATCATCATTGTTGTTATTATATTCCGCATGAAGCTAAAAATTATTAATATAAAAACGCATTTAATATATATACGTATATAGATTACCTAGACTATATATGATATTTACATGAGCATTATACAGATGTACCACATGTTTATCCACGAGGATTCTACATAAACCAACTCCTTTGCCCCCAAACCAATCAGCATGCTGAATACGGTGAAAATAACCATTAACACTCCAAGGATGAAAGAAAGAGCTTAAAATAGGATATTTAGACAACACCAGGAGACCTGAACCTATAACACCACTAAAAATAAAACARAAATTTGCTTTAAAATTATAAACAACTTTTTATAATACTCCATGAAGTTTTACCTGTAGAAATAGTGAGCGTAAGGTAATACTGACTCGGTAGCGTTCTTCAGTGTTTCGCAGTCTTTACGAGACCAAACTTCTTGCAGAGAAACTATATCATATTTGCCTGAACTGAGTTCTAAGCCGATTGCGGCTATTCGTAACTCACGGTCCTTTGAAATAAAAGGAAAAGGTATTCCCCTGGAATATTATAAAACACATATTAAAACTTCCTTCGTGCTGACATGATTGTACTGCGATAAAAATACAGACCAAACATTTAATGTCAAAATACTTAAATTTAGCAACATATTTATATAAAAATATAGATATAGATATGTAACAAATATATTTATGTTTATGATAGTGATATCGGACCAGTCGGAATACAATAGTCGAAAAGTAAAATTTTGTGTTGATCGACGATGTCATCAAGAATTTATCAGCTCTAGTCTGCATTCATTTTTATTGCGAGGATAGGATTTTTGATGACTCATTTATATGACCGTTTCAGCGGAACCAAATATACATATAAATAAGTGGTTACTACCTTCATTGTAAACTTCCACGAAATGAAATTAGTAAAGTATTAATTTTACAGTTTTGTTTTTGAATTATAGTTTTGTGCACTTACTTCCCACTTCCCAAAAACTACTTAAAAATTATTTGAAGCCTTCAACAAACTTCCGTAGTAATTTCAAAGACTAATTTGTTTCACTGCCTTTATTTAGTACACTTTAAAATCAAATTACATTGTTATATTTTAAATTTAAATATTGATTTTACTTTAAAAAAAATTATTTTCTATTGAAATAAAACAATTTAAAGTTCATAATCGCCGTTAACACTTTGTTCTTGATCATCTGTACCAACTTCTTCAAAATCTCTCTCTARTGTAGCCAAGTCTTCACGAGCTTCCGTAAACTCGCCTTCCTCCATTCCTTCGCCAACATACCAATGCACAAATGCACGTTTCTTAAACATTAAATCGAACTTGTAATCCAAGTTACTGAATGCAACAGCAATTGCAGTTGTATTTGAGAGCATACAAACTGCACGAGGAGTCTGGGCTAAATCTCCTCCAGGTACGCATGCAGGTTTCTCATAATTAATTCCAATTTTAAAACCTGTTGGACACCAATCCACGAATTGAATATGTCGTTTGGATTTTATAGCCGATACTGCCGCGTTTACATCTTTTGGTACAACATCCCCACGATAGAGCATACAACAAGCCATATATTTTCCAGCGCGTGGATCACACTTCACCATCATATTTGAAGCTTCAAAACATGAGTTTGTTAATGCCATTATAGTATTGTGCTCATGCGATGCATTTGATGAAGATACCAAYGGAGCGTATGCTACTAGTGGGAAATGAATTCGAGGATAAGGTACTAAATTTGTTTGAAATTCATTAAGATCGACATTCATAGAACCACTGAAACGTAAAGAAGCTGTAGTTGAACTAACAATTTGTGCAATAAGGCGATTCAGGTTACGATAATTGGGACGATCAATATTCAAACTATTCTGACATATTTCATAGATTGCTTCATTGTCTACTATAAAAACGCAGTCCGAAGTCTCCAAAGTAGCGTGTGTAGTAAGAACTGCATTGTATGGCTCTACAACTGACGTAGAAACTCTTGGTGACGGGTACACTGCAAAATCCAATTTACATTTCTTACTATAATCTGCAGTTAAGCGTTCCATAAGTAAAGAAGTAAAACCCGATCCAGTTCCACCACCAAGACTATGAAATATTAAGAAACCTTGAAGACTTTCACATTGTTCAGATAATTTTTGAATGCGATTCATAACTTTATCAATTGCTTCTTTTCCGATAGARTAATGGCCACGTGCATAATTATTGGCTGCATCTTCTTTTCCAGATATCAGTTGTTCTGGATGATACAAACTCTTAAGGTTACCTGTACGTACATCATCTATAACTGTAGGCTCAAGATCAACAAAAACAGTACGTGGTACATGTTTGCCCAGACCAGTTTCTGCGAAAAAAGTATTCGAGTCATTCGTGGTTTCATTTTTAGTATCTTGTGATAATTTATTCGATCCATTCATATTCTCTGCTTTACTTTTAGTAGAGCCGTCAACATCAATGCCGTGCTCCAAAAGGTACAATTCCCAGCAAGCATTTCCGATTTGAATTCCTCCTTGCCCGATTTGTATTGATATTACCTCACGCTTAAAAAATAATATCAATCTTAAATACTCCTTCTAAAAGATAGTAATTATTGCTTYATCTCACCATTTTTAAAGAATTAAATGTGAAAGTTAAAAAGGCGCCAATATTTCAACCCCAAAGCAAATTAAAAAATAGCTGCTATTGCGAATATCTTAGATGCCGTTAGGAAAGATAATGTCCTTAATGTCAAGGCACAGTTAAAGCCTAGCACATTAAGCTTATTCACGTACATACTAGTTTAACAAATGGTATACATTCTGTAGAAAGAAGGAAAACCGTTCTGACTGCTTTTGAAATATTTTTTCGCGCCATTTTAAATCAATTACTCAATCGATATCAACGAGTTAACTATAGTATAATATTTAAATATGTTTAATTGAAATATGTACATACGCCTATTTTAGATCAAATTTCATTTATGTTTTATTTATATATATATTATTATATATATATGAAAAAAAATTTAAGTACGTATTGTTATCTTTAAAAGTTAAACTTCTGAAACTTTTTATTAATTTTTAAAAAAGCTTTAAATTTATAGGCTTGTGTGACCTCGAATTAAATGTATAAGCAATATCTGGAGTATATGTAGACAATTATATACATTATTTAAATAATGCAAAAACTACCAGATTTATTAACTAATAAATTGTTTAAAATATTCTCTATTATTAGACAATCCACAAAATCGTAGTTTATTTAAGAAATTTTTTTTTAAATATAGTTAATTTTATTCTATATGAAAACTTTTGCGATGAAGGAGATTTTCAATTCAGACATAATCGATATTTAGATTAGTTTTCCATATTGCCACGTCGGAGCGAGTTTTCTTTAAAATTCCGATATATCGATAAATACATTCGATAAAACTTTGCTTAATCTTTATATATCGCTTATTAAACAATTTAATAACTGATTTTAGGAAGATGAAGGAAGGTTTTATTACAATCTCTGGTGGGCCCACCCACGTAATTACTTGGGGACGTTGGATAGAAGAGCCTATGGATAATGTGCCCGAGATTGTGATATGTATTCCAGGTAATCCCGGCTTAGTTGGCTTTTATACCGAATTCCTGCGCTTATTGTATGAACAATTGAGTGAAAAAATTCCGGTTTGGATAATTGGTAAGATTCCCAATTTTTAACTTGATTTTTTTCAATTGCTGTTTTCGGTTTTAAAGGTCACCTAGGGCACGAAGAACCTTCAAAGAATTGCAAAACGGAAGTTCCTTGCCTTAAGGGAAATGAAAAAATATTTGATCTAAATGGACAGTTATATCATAAAAAGGAATTTATTCAACGTTTTGTGCCACACAATATAAAAATTCATTTAATTGGTCATTCAATTGGAGCATGGATGGTGATGAATTTGTTAGAATTTCAGGATATTCGGCAACTGGTTAAAAAATGTTACCTTYTATTTCCAACAATAGAACGAATGATTGACTCATCGAACGGTTGGAATTTCACCAAAATTGGGATTCCACTATACACAGTTCTAGGATTTGTAATTCCATTGTTTAATCGGTTACCAAAATATCTTCAAATTTGTGGAGTACAAATATATTTCTGGCTCTTAAACATACCGAAGTCGTTTATTGAAACCGCTTTAGAATACTCGAAGGCTCCTGTGATGGAAAAAGTAATATTTTTAGCAAAAGACGAAATGGTTCGGGTACGTGATTTAGATCAAAGTTTGATGGAGAAACATTTACCATTGTTAAAGATGTATTATGGTACGACGGATGGTTGGGTACCAATCGAGTATTATAACGAAATATGCAGAAAATATCCCAAAATTGATGCTGAATTAGACAAAGAGTCTATAGATCATGCATTTGTATTGAGAAACTCGGAGGCAATGTCTCGAATAGTAGGTAAAATGATTAAAGAACATTCAGAAATTTTGAAATGAATGCATATATGCATATACATATGTAGCTTTACATATATTTTCTTTGCCATAAAATTAATAATATATAATAATTAGAAAAATGTGTACATCCATATACATAGATATCCATAACTATCATTATCGGATCAAATCAGACTAATAATCAAATATATTAAATGAAACTAAAGTTAACATTTTAGGCTGAGGATGATTTATATATATATATTTTTAGTGGTATTTTGGTTGAATGAATACATAGCTACATATATTAAAACAAAAAAATATAGTATTTTATTCAGATTCTGAAACCGATGGACTACGTGAATGAGACTTAACTGAAGACTTGTTCTTTGTACGTTGCGGTGAAGAAGAAGGTGAGCGCGAAACAGATCTCGATTTTGAAGGCGATCTAGATCTTGAGCTTGACTTTGAACGCGACCGTCTTTCAGATCCACTACCAGAACGTGATCTAGATCTAGATCGGGAACCGGAACGAGATCGACTTTCACTATGAGAACGTTGTTCTGAYGGTGATCTTGATATACGACGCACGCGCTTGGACTCAACACTACCGTCACTGTCACTGTCACTGTCACTTTGATCTCTGTTAGCAACATGCTTTCGCTTGCGTCCACCAGCATCGCTATCGGATTCACTCGTGGATATCGTAGCTTTCGAAACAATCTTAAGCCTTTGCCTGCCTGACAACTTTTCTTTCGATTCCTTTACCTCTTTAGCCTTCCTCGTTTTCTGTTTCTTTTCTCTAGGTTGAATTTCACCATCACTGTCACTATCATATTTGTCTTGTGCCGATTTTCTCTTTCTACCAGCACCCTTTTTGCGTTCCTTGGGTTTCTTCTTTGAACGTTCAGCACCATCAACTTCACCAACATCACTACCAGAATCGGAAACATAACCATCCTTGCGTGGACGACCACCTGCATTGTTAAATGTAAATTATATATAATAAATGCTAATAGATAGCAAATTATATATAGATTTTACTGTACCTTTCTTGCGCTCTTTGGATTGAGGCGGATTTTCCGAAATAATCAATATACCCTTCGTTTTCTCAACATATTCCTGGCGTTTCACAAGCATTTGTTCTCGGGACATCTTTTGTTCTTCTTCTCGACGTTTACGTTCTTCTTCTTGTTTCGTCTTAAAGGCCAATCGTTCCTCTTCCTGCTTGCGACGCAAAGCTTTTTCTTCCTCATCGATACGACGAGCTCGGGAAACATGATATTGGGCTTGAGACAAGAGATCCTGACACTGATTGGCCTCAATGCCAGCAATCTCAATATTGAAACGTGTTTTATCACCACAAATTGAGAGGTGTTGAAAATATCTTATAATTTCAAACAAATTTTCTAATTAGCAAATTTTTAAGATGTTTCTGATAGAAAAAGCTTCACAATACCTTTGCGCTAATTCCAATTCATGAACAGCTTGTAACACTACATCAAGAGTTGAYTTTTCGTCTTTAAGGATAGCCATAGCCAAACGTTGCAGTACCACAGCAATGTTGAAAAGTAATACCTGTAAATTTGAGTTTAACAAATTAGTATTTCTGCATTAGGAAATCATTATTCGGCTGCACCGAAACTATAATACCCTTCACAGGTGCATTTCTTATAGCATGAAAGGTTATAAATAGATCTTTATATATGTATACAGAGAGACGACCACAACTGAATCGACTCAGCTCTTCATGTTGATCATTTACAAATGTATATATATGTATGTCTCCGACGTTTCCGTATGAGTATTACAAACTTAACATACCTTGTTCAAGTTATAAAAAAACATTCGAATTTAAATATGTAACCCATCTTACTTATGGTACCACTATCCCTATTTCATTAKCTTACCGTATCTTGTGGCGCAACCCTTCTCGCTTTTAGCAGGACTGTTTTTGCTTCTTTCAGTTTACCTGCACGCAAGTATGCACGTGCCAAATACTGCATCACTTCGACATTATGATGTTTGTAGAATTTTTTCATACAGTTCTCGTACATTTGTATTGCACTGATGTATTGCTTCTGCTCAACATATATATGAGCAATATTTAACCAAACATCTGAGAAGTCAGCCGTTGCCTCTCGAACCTGTGCGAATATATCTCGTGCTTCTATAACACATCCTTTATGCGCCAATACAGCGCCGATGCCATTAGAAGCCCAAATATTACGAGGATCATTGCGCAAAACCTGTCATTTAAAAATTTATATAGTAATGTAAACGGGTAGACATATCTATGTTAGTACGATACCTGTTTATATATAGATAAAGCTTTTTCCTGATGTTTTCGTTCCTTGTCCTTATCTCTGATCGGCTGATGAAGTGTTTGCAATGAAAAATTTCCTAGTGCAATCAACGAGTATGCATCCGTAGCAGTTGTAGGATTTTTCAAGATTGTTTCAAAATTTTTTTGTCCCAAAGCAAATTGCATTTTTGCCAAATGTAAATTTCCTAACAAAGACCTAAATAACATTTATKACAATTATCGTCAGATATATACCAATATTAACACAATTACCTTGCATCGGGGTTATCGTTATTGATATTTAATGCGTCCTTAAAGAAATCAGATGCTACGAAAATGAGACCCTTGTCACGTGCCATACATCCCAATCGTAAGTAGCAGTCAATATAATTTGGATGTTCTTTTAATATATCTTTGAACAATTTATCGGCTATGTCAAAGCTGCACATAGCTTCATTAAGACGAGCTAAATTATAAGTCATTGTCACTGATATGGAATCATTATATTGTTTATCTGCATTCGAGCTATCTGCTTCCACTCTAGCTCTTTGTATTGCTTCGTTTAACTTTTGTTTAGCTATAGCTAAATTACCAATTCGATAATGTAGAGCGGCGACATTATTTAATATTTCTGCCGGTAAATCTACTTTAACCTTTTCAGTTAGAATATTCGATGCTGTAGCGTAGGCGTTTAGGGAAGCTTGAAGATCATTTTGTTCTAAAATTTGGGCTAGTTCTATCCAAGCTTCTACGTCATCAGGAAACTGTTCCGTAACCTTCTTTAGATGTGACTTTGCCATGTCACGTTTTGCTTGTGAATTTGAGTTTGCATAAAGAGAGCCCAAAATCTTCATTGTTTCGTAGTTTCCTGGTTGAATTTTCAACACTTTTTCAAAACATTGAGCAGCCTAAAAAATAAATAAATTTAATTATATTTTAGRGGTTAATAAGAGTATTTCTTACATTTTCAGTATCACCGCGATATATATACATCTGTCCGAGACCATAATGAGGTAACACAAAGTTAGCAGGTGCGATTTGGGTTGACTGATAGTAATATTGAAACGCTTGATCATAATCACACTGGGCATGAAAACTGCGTGCTAATTGGTAGCAACTTTCTGCTCGCATTGCTTCATTTTCAGTGTTATGAAAAGCATGCAACGCCAAATGTTGAACTTTTTGGTAGTCTTTTTTAAAGAAAAAGTGGTTTGCTAAATGATTTAATACCATAGGGCTGGTAGAATCAATAGTGTAAGCTCGCGATAGCATTTGGACACCTAATTTGTTTGAGTCGGGTTCATGCAAATTTAGTTTCAATATTGCCAACCCAATTAGAGCCCCAACACAATTGGAATCGAGTTCTAGAGCTCTTTCAAATGCCTGTTTAGCTTTTTCCTGATTGTTCATTTTAAGGAAACAATGACCCATGCCCATACGAACGTTCGCTGGACAATTCGGATTTGTACGTAAAGCCTTTTTATAAAAAGCTAAAGCTCCTCTATAGTCCTTTTTATTGAAGGCGATGCATGCTTTGCCCAAAAGCGATGGAATATTTGCAGGCGATTGATTAAGAACGAAATTAAATTGGGCATCTGCTTGTTCCATTTTATCGCCTTCTAGCAAGCAAAAATATGCTCTACCCAACAAATGATTTTGATCGTACATAATAATTTTATCAGCAGTTGTGTACAAGTTTGTGGCCTTCATAAATAACTCTCGTTTTTTCTCTTTCGATTTTTCCCGATTTGCTTCCTGTACGTAATGCGCAGCCAACATATCATATGCACGCATTTGATCTTTCTCCATGTCACGATAATCAGTATTCCCTTCAGTTCTAGCCGTTTCCAAAAGCCTTATAAAGTCTGCTGTCTTTTTCTCCTTGTAGTACGCCAACTACAAATATATTATGGTATTAGAATATATATATACATTTATAAAAAAATTTATATAAAAAAACTTACCGCCACGTTCACCCAGGTATTTAACTGGGAACGCTCTTGGCGTAAAATAGCTAGTACTTCCTGACATTCTGGTAACTGATCTGGATGAACCTCTATAACCTGATAGCATTAAGAGAAAAAAATGTATACCTACAAAACAATAAAATGCATTATGTTATATTACCTCGTCAGTATCCCGCAATGGAATTTCAATAGGCGCTGACATGATCTCTAATAAAYTTGAAAACGCAGCTATCAAAACAACAAACTAAATTACTTCACCAATGCTGCTTAACGTTGAGAGCAATATATCGATTATAAAAATTATCGACTAATTTACTTAAGCTAAGGYTGCGTGACAAATGGTACAAAAATGAAAATTCTGACAGAGAAAACTGAAATTTTGACATTTTTTGTGGTGAGTTCGAATGCTACCAAGAAAAAACTTTTCTTYTTCTTGATTGGCGTAGTCACCGCTTACCGCGATTATAGCCRAGTTATCAACCGCGCGCCAGTCGTTTCTTCTTTTCGCTACTTGGCGCCAATTAGATATTCCAAGTGAAGCCAGGTCCTTCTCCACTTGGTCCTTCCAACGGAGTGGAGTAACACAGGAATTATGAGTGTCTTACAGAGTTTGGTTTTTGTTTGTCGAGAGAGAACTTTGGAGTGGCCAGAAACGATACTTTTACATGTGACTCAAGCAGCTCACGACTTCCGGTCTTTGACCAAGTATCCTCTGGGTAGCCTAAGAACATCCGTTTGAAGGCGAGCTAAAGTGAGAAGGCGAAATATYCCCTACATAAAGTGGGCGCAGGGTTTGGTACCCGCCACGTAAAAAAACACCCCCAATGAAAAGGAACAAGCAGCCTCGGATTAAAGACCCCCCTTTTAATGAGTCCATATATGTAGTTTTAGTTTATCAAGGTATGGCTAATAAGACAAATAAAACTTTAATACATGTATCACCATATCTTCCTAATAATGGAAATTTTCAAAATCCTTAGATGTTTTCATTCTGTGTGAAGGCTTTTGGACTCCTTWGATTTAACGTATTACATTGTCCAGTTAAATAATATCAATCACAACGACAATAATATTCATAACAATTGCTTATATGTATATCGTGCTGTGTTAATAAGTGTTTTATATTTTGTATATATTTAAATAAAGTATATGATAAAATACATAGGTGTGAAAACTTATTAACTGTAAGTACAACAACGTTAAAGTCCAACTTATCGCACAAGTTGGTCGTGGTTTAATACATTTGAGTATGGTTTAAATATAATTCATTGACCCATAGTTAAAAATAAAATCAGATCCTTTTTAATTTTTTTTTTTTTTTGGAAAGTACCCTACTAACTTTAAAATGCATTTCACTTCAATATTGTATATTTTAATAATTCACAACTGATTTAATTAATATTAGTTTCGTCTTCATGAACACCTTTATAATATATCCGTATTTTTAATAATGATTGCTACCGCGATCCGAGTATTTTCCACTAACTTTGCTTATCGAATAATGGTCTGAATAACCGTCATATTTGTTCCCTTTATAAGAAATCTCTTTGGTAGGTATATAACCGATGTTATTTTGCCAATGTCTTGTCCAGTAAAGATTTTCATTACGCACTTGAGAAGGTGTTTTGGCATCTCTGCAAACATGCACGCAGTATATCATGCACCCAATGAGAGTGAGRAATCCAAAAATTAAAAATATAATCCCAAGTATCCTTCAAAACAAAGGAAAAACATTGAGGTATAATAAAGAAAATGATAAATGAATGAAACTAAGAAATGCATACCACACATATAAAGGATCATAAAATTGCACAACAATCACAAATCCCAGGGTAACGAGAATTAAGCCCAGATTCAAAAGCAACATAAGACAGCAAACTCCTTTTATATTCGGGCAAAAAGGGTTTGGCGCTGACATCGCGTCTATTTTTACACCTCTTTTCGTTGTTGAATGAACACTTGGTCCCGTCTTTGCTGTGCTTGCCATCGAGTAAACACTATGTGATGCGGCACGTGATTGTGGTCGATGGCTATACCGACTATGGATGGAATAAAAAGGAAACAAATTAGCAAAGAAACAAAAAATTATAACATTTCTATTGATTTATTTTGTGTAGGAGCAAAAAAGCTTTATTAATTTTATRAATTACACGACTTTGTAATGGTATATACATACATATGTTTATATGTTTTTATGTTCACCTTATTTCTGAAGGTTCTTTATAAGCAGCACTAGTCACATAAATTTCACTGCTTACATCACCCCCTTGGTCATAAGTAAGAGTAGAAAATGCGCGGGCTTGCGGTGATCCATTTGACCATTTCTGATTATAAATTACACTACTCTCCTCAGCTGGACTTTGCTGATTTTGATATAAATTTGTTTTGCGCGCCGAACTGTATGGATACTCTTGTGTAACTGTATATCCCGCCGCCGATGCTGCATTATGTGATTCTTCACCATCAGTAGAGTAAGCGCGATTAGAATGCGTATATGCAGGGTACCCCACGGGTTGACTGTGTGTTGCAACATAATGGCCACCTTTAATTCTAAAGAAGTACAAACAATTTAATCGAGTTAACTTTTTATCGTTCAGGAGATTTTCAATTTACCCCTATTAATGTAAATTCAATTGGAAAAACTGAAAATTATATGTGACACTTACTTCTCAACGCGTCTCTCGTGCATTATGTCTGCGTATATTTTCTTATTTTAGKTGTGCCGCATGAATGTAGCAAGAACCTGAAAGGACATTTTTTATTCATACGTGTGATAGTGAGAGTTTGCAGTCAGATTTACTGTCTAAGTAGCAATGATAGCAATTAATCTTAAAGAAATAATCAAGGAAGCAGTTGTTAAACCAACAAATAACTTAAAAAAATAACACATATGTACATGTGTGAAACTTAAAAATATATTCGGAAATGACATATTCATACGTGGGTATGAAAATTGCAAGAAACAATGCAGTCATACATAATTTTWTACGTTCGTCTGTATGTACGTATTTTAATAACGACAGAGGTATTTGCAAATGGATTTGGCCTTATAAAATGAATTTTAATTTTGAATAATTTAAACCATATATTTGTATGTATTGTATATTAAAAACATTACAGCAGGATACAAATGAAGTATTATAATGCAATATAAATGTAAGCAAAGCAAATGCATTATTGTCTGCCCACCTATCTATAGACATATACCACATGCAAATATATATGTACATACATTCATAAGTACGAAAATACGCAAAAAATAGCTGTTTAACATGTGTTCATACATGCATATGAATAACTATATGAGTTATACTCTTCCAAAATAACAAAGGTTCAGTGAAAACTTTATACCAAATTAATCTAAAATGTCTAAAAAAATAGGCGGAAAACAAATCTTTCGCACATACTCCTCCACCTACGTGTTTTTGCATGTTTGCATCTAGTATATACAAAATATATGAATAGTTCCTTTTTATATGGTATACTTACGTAATAATTTTAAAATAGCACCAACAAGCACTTGTAAACTAAAGTAAACACTGACAGATTTCAACTCGCCATCAAGGTTAAATATTGAAATCTCTATTTTCTATCACCTTACACCTAGAATTTCAGTCTATTTTCAACCTATTTATTAATGTTTTATATATTTTAAAACACTCCTTAAAGTAGCAGAAAATATTTTCGTAAATCTTATGTCTACTTTGTTCGCTGTATGTGTATCAACAAACTAACTATTGTCCATTTTCTTATTTCTATAACCCAAAAGCTTTTTATTATTGCCAGGTTATAAGAACCTACGCGTTTAGCGTCAACTCTAAACTCATCAAGCAGAAAGTTGGCGCTTTTAGCTTTAAACATAAAATGCATTTGGAAACCAGTTTTGTACGCCAAGCTTAATAATTCCAAGCTCTCTGCCTGAACTTATTATTGCTAAAAGTAACCGGTTATTTGTTAGACTTTGTTTAACTTTATCAWAAGGTACAAACAATACGTCGCTATGAAAAATCTTTATTTTACATTTATATCTCTTACAGTCTCCAAAACGTAATTTTACTAATATAAGTTTAAGAACTTAAATCTATTGATTGTAATGTGGAAAAGTCCAATAATACCAATAAGATAACACCTCTTCGATCCACTTCGGAAATGGATTTGCTTTTAATTGCTAAAAACAAAAAACATGAATATAATTCAATTACCTTTAATGTGAAAAGTATTACGTGGATCTAAAATGGAAGTCTTAAAATTTCATATTTTTATATACATTTCATAGGAATTTTTTTAAAATATATTTAATGAAAATGATTTATTTAGAGCTGTGTGTGATACATTATGACCAGTTATACGGGGGTGGGTATTAGTGTTTGCTCGCTTAACTCCGGTAAAGGTATTAAGATTGAACATACCATTGGTAGAAATGTCTCCTTCTGTTGTTTGAAAATATTTACTGAAAATAAAAAAAAATATATATCTTTAATGTTTACTTGGAAAAAAATATGAAAGAAAATTCAGATTTTACAAATTGCAATTATTTTCATTATTTTTGAAACTATACTTCAAAATTTTTCTCATACACAAAAGACTTAAGCAGCAAACGTGCAGTGATGTGAATGTGTGTGTGTTCAAAAAACAACGAGAATTTAAAAATTAAAACTCCTGAAATACAACAAAAATTTCAGATGTATTCATTACTTCCTTTGTTGTGCTAAAAGAAATGGATCAAAGAATTTGTTCGTAAACCAAAACCAATACTGTAACRATGTTCCAGACTCCATATACACCAGACAAGGCACAGTGTGCTTTTTCTTGTATTCAAAAATAAATAGAACCTTTAAAAGCGCATCGCTGAAGCATTAAAGGCTATCAATAAAATCGAGTTTAAGGAGCGCTGGCATTAGTGCATAACATCGAATAGGGACTATTTCGAAGACGACAATTTACATGAGTTTCCCGCCACAAACTAATTTTTTATTGTCTTATTTAATTATGCTCAACCGATCTTGCTGAAATTTTACACAGGTCTTCAAGACATAATTTACGAGGCCTTGAATGGAGGTTAGGTTCAATTATAATTATTTATAAAACAAGCAAACAAATTACTAAATCTGCATTTTTTTTTATCAAAATGTGCGCGCAAAAACAAACAATTTGTTGCTGTCAACTAGGAGGCACTTTTTTCCTAAAAACTGCCGGAGATAACATCGTAGCCGAGTTTTGAATATTTTTCACTGCAAATTTCACAAAATCTTTGTAAAATAGAAAAAAGTTTGAATAAAATATTTCATTTTTTGTATGAAAAAAAATATTGAAAATAGAAATTTTTTGCTCTAGGAAGCCCATGCAACCATTTAAAAGTACAAATTAATAATTTTTTTTTCAAAATACGAAAATTTCCGATAAATCATCAAAATAATATCAATTCGTCTTACTTTGATAAAACCGAATTTGCTTTTTAAGATGAAATTATAATAAAAATAACGGCATTGGATACATGTATACATGATTTGCAACGATAAAGTTATACTTGAAATCAAAAGGTGATGCAATTTTTTCCAGTCCGTTTGACTTTAAATTAAATGCACTTATAAATTATTTTGTGCATATAATTGAATTACTATTTGAATTAAATTATTTTTCTAATCCCAAAAATCTTAATCAAAAATAATTTTACTACCACATACCGGATTAAAAAAAATAATTAAAGAAATCGAATTAAAAAATTATTTTTAATTTTAAACCGCAAATACCGAAAAATTAATCCCAATTAAAAAATAATAAATAATTGATAAAAAGATACATTGTTTTAAACTTTAAATTTTTTCACGTTTGCATACTTCGAGTCTTATCATTTTGGTTAACCTACTTTTTTTGATTAATTCCTTCCTTACTAATTTACTTTAATTGTTTATAGATACAAACCTTTTAGGCTGCAATTCAAATTTCTTTATTTTAAGTATTTCCCTTTCTAATTGTTTACGCTCATATCGCAACTGCTCGTATTTTTCGTATTTCTGCTTTGAATTTATCTCCAAAGCATTACACTTCCTTTTAACTTTTTCCATTTCAGTTCGCTGAAAATKAAATAAATAAATATAACTGTATTTTGGTATGAATACTATCATAAACTACATTTCATTAAAGCTCAACATTATTGTGATAAGAAAATAAAATGTAATCAATTTAGATTTTACATTAAATAAAGAACCATTCGGTGACATACCTTACGAAACATTCCTTTTTTAAAGCTGTCTCGCTGTTTTGCCTGAAAATTCAAGATGCGTTCATTTGGTTCACGCCATGGTTCAGGATTTAAAAGCTCCTTTGCATGCGCCGGCATAACGTTGCATAATACTCGATAACGCTGTGTTTTATTGCAAATTGGACAATGCACTTCACTGGACACATTTATATGATTAATAGCGAGCGTTGTTGCACATTTTTCACATATCATATGATTACAAGAGAGCAAGAATAATCTCCTTCGCTTTCGTATATATATTTCTAAGCAACGGTTGCAGTGTATCCAATATAAACCCACATCTTTTGGCAATTTTAAATTTGAATTTGTATTAAGATCATCGAACGATTCTCCTTCCATAGTTTTTATTTCAGTAATTCAAATTTAAAGATGTAACTGGTTCTATAACTGTTTGTATAAATTATGTCCGTTAACATTCGTTAAGCTCATTTTACACAAGATAAACATCACAGTTGATCTGTGCATTTTTACATACAACTTTGGATTCGCTTTGCTTCAGACTTTCGCTTTGACATCAAAGTTCGATCTATTCTTTTGTGTGATTATTTGGCGAGCAAAATATTGGGCAACTATTATCTTTTCACACATTGTCAAGCCACAGAGATTATTTTTGTAAGAGAAAAACAAAGCAAAGCGTTCATTCTGGCATATCCATGACTTTCTTCGTTTTGTAGTTAAAGTACAAAGTATGTAGATAAAGTATAATTCCGTTACAATGCATCGCGATAGAATTCGGCTTTTAATTTTATTGATAAATATAAAACTTTTTTTATAAATGTACATTATTATAAAAAGTTTTCATTAGGATGCAAAACAAACGGAAGCAAAATATTGTACAATAACCATTTTCCGAGATATTAACCAAATTTATACATTTATTTTATAAGCAATATTGATATAAGAAATATTAACTGAATTTATATATTTATGTATATTATTTATTGTGTATAAAAATTTATAATTTTGGTAAATGTAGGGTAGATCACCCAGCGAAGGAGGCCGCGAAAACTATACATATATATTTTTTTTTGTAAACGACTTACTTTGATGTGAAGATAACAAGTACGCAAACGGAAAGGCGAGTAGGCAAGTCGATCTTTCATTAATTCAATATTTTTTGAAGTTTTTTAAGCAGAGTTAATTTTTTGATGCGCGTCGAAGGTCAGTATTATTGAAGCACGGCCAAAGGCTGCCGCTGCACAAATCAGTTTTTTGTTTCTTAAAAATTAGACTGTAAATACGGATTTCTCCTTCCTTATTGGCGCAGACTACGCTTACGCGGTTATAGTCGAGTTAGTTATGGTCCTCGTTTACTACCAGAAATTGCTATTCTGGAGGTTCTCTGGAGGCTTAGATGCGGTTTCATCCGGCGGGGTGAATACCGGGATTCGGTAACGGAGTCACTCTCCCACCACRAATCCTACATCGTAGTAAATGCCTACTCGCCTAAGTTCTTGTSTCGTCCATCGAACTCCTTGGACATCGGTGATGTCAGCTTTACTCTTACGAGGACATCAACCAGCTGGATAGCGGCACATTTCAATTAATGAACTGGACATTCCAGGTGCGTATCCTTAATCGTAATCCTTCATAAGTTTGCAGTGGTCGCCTCTCATCCGTGGCTGTTGTGACTGGCATCACCCTGATTCGGCTTTTCACTTTAGCAGAAGTCGTTTTTGTCTAGTCCTAAGTGAATGGCGCTCAAACTTTCTACCCATGGCTCTATCCTTCATATTTTTCTATATATCTGTAAAATTAAGACGATTAAAAAAAAAATTTACACATGTTTTTTATTTTGTATAATTTTATTTTTGATAATGTTGATATTAAATTCCACTTTAAGGTTACATATCCCTATTGAGGGATAACAAAAAATAGTGAATCACCTTAATGTGTTATATTATTATAGTTATCGATTAATAATTTTTATCGGTAAAGTATTATGTGAAATAAGGCGGGAAATTTGCTGAGTGTGCGGAAAATATTGGTAAACATATCAATGTGTTTGAGCACTCGAAATAGGAAAAGTAGGTAATAAAACAAGAATTATAAGTGGAATATCGCAGCAAAATGGATAAAACTCTGGTTTACGAAAGCAGTGATGATAACATTGCATGCTCAAGTAATTTAAAGGTAACATATCGATATAAAAATATTTAAAAAAAGAAACATTAACTAGAACAAAAACATATACATTTTGTTKAAAGTACTGTGAATTGAGGGTTTTTACGTTATAATTTCATATAATGACATGTTTAAAAAAATAAAAATWAATGTAATATCTTACAATTTGTAGGAGATAGAAGATGATGACCCCAACAATGAAAAAACAGARGACCAAAATAATATTTTGGAAATTAATGAAGGAACGCGCAAAGTGGAAGAAGAAAATATTCCTCGCGTTCCGGAACAGGTGGAAAAGGTAAGACATTAAAATTAAAAAGGATGTATGTATATATTTCCCTCTTTATTGATATATAATTTTATTTTATAGTTATTGATACCAACTGATAAGCAAGCCATCCAAAGCCAACAACAGCGTTTACAAAGAGAAGCTCAGTTTAGGTAAGAGTTCAGAGATTTTTTTTACCTTATTTTTTACATTTAATTGTATAGCATTCCGTACCATAAGCCAAAAAAATATACGTTGAAGGAATTTCTTAGTCGGCGTACTATTATCAAACCATGTGAACCCGCCAAAGAGAACGGTTTTTCGGAAGCTTTGGGAAGATCAAAAAATTTGAAAATGTCCAAAGAAGAATTAGAAATTTATTCGTAAGTCATGTGTATGAGAAAAAAAGAAACAGTTATATTTTGAATCTCTTCTATGTATATAGGAAATTAATGGAAGACAGAGCCAAAGAAGCATCTGAATTTTTCAAAGATGATAACACCGATGATTCAMAACAAAAGGGCGGCAATTGTGAGGAAAAATTTTCTAATAGTAAACATGAAATCAGGGATGAAGCCAATATCATTCCACAAAAACTCAACGAATCAAATGAAAATGAAAATGAAAAATGTCGAGATGAAAATGTGTGTAATATTGTAATTACGGAAATTGTAGAGCTTCCAAAATTGAATCTGAATGATATAGCTAAAGACTTAAATTTAAAAAATATCATAAATCAAACTTTGATGCCAAAAGAAAGGATAATATTTCCATTAGGATCAAATTCAAACGTTCCTCAGCTATTAAAGACGAGTCCTACATTAAACGGAAAACAGGACATAACATTCGATTTGATATCGACTGAAAATGATACCCCTAAAATAAATAGCAGGGCTAATAGTTTGCTGGAAAGACTTATGAAGACGAACACTTGCCATAAACCTAAAACTAATGACACTATTGGGTGAGTGGAGCAAAAGTGCATTTAATATCTTTCATCATCTAAGAATATAAAAATATCTTTGTAGAATTAAAAGAACGAAATGTAAAACAAATACTCTAATTGATGAAACTGAACCTTACTCGAATAAAAAACCTGGAGAATCTTTTTTGAAATTAAAAGACAACCTGAAGTCCATCATCTTGGAAAAGCGTAGAGAAGAACTGAAGAAAAAACAAATGGAGGAAAATAATACGAAGAATGCTATTGATAATCCTAAAAATTTTGAAGATTCTATGGAGTACGAGGATAAGCTATCGGTAAGAATTTGTTTGCAAAGTATTATGTTAAATGCTATATCGATTCGTAATATTCATTCTAGTGCGATAGCTCTGACAACTCTGAATCCGAGACCGACGGAGAATCTTCTGTACAAGAAGAGCATTCTAAAGTTGATGAAGACGATGCGGTTGATAAAAACCAAACACCTGTCTGGGATTTTCAACCGTCAGACGTTGGCACAATTAATAATTTTCTCTTAAAAATTGACTCTGATGATTCCAATGAATCCCAACATTTTAATCCATCAGTCATTAGCCAAGTACCCGCAACACAAATATGTAATCCAGATGAGGAAGCAGATCAATTAATAAATTTATGTTCTGGCACTTTTGAAACGCAACCGACTAATAGACCAAATGAAACCATAGGCAATGAAATTCTATCATCAAGTGAAGAAAATTCTCCACGTTCAAGTGGTAAAAATATACGAACTAAAAAGTTCACAAAGAAAATAAAGAAATCCAAAATGAAATTGGGTTTCTCTGATGATGAGGCTGATGAGTCCGACGACCCTGACACAAATGAGTACAGAAGCGAAAAAAATGTATCCATTAATGACGAACCTGCTACCTATATTGACTATGACTCAGAAGAAAATGAAATAACTGTGGAATTGACCAAGCAAGATTGTTTAAAGAAAGCTGAAACCTTTTTCGAAAGGGAGGCAGAGCTTTCTGAATCTGATTGGGGTAGCGCAGATGAAGACGAAAAGAATTTGGATCAATACGAGAATGAAGTAGGTGACGAAGATGTGTTCGACAAAGAGGAAATAAGAGATGAACTAGGGAAAATACACGCGTGAGTATTGAATTTCTGGTATTAATGTATTGACGAACGTAATGTGTCGAACTGTATTTAAATAATTTTGGTGACAAATGTCTAGGCGTAAAATGTTAGATGAGGATTTGCGGCAAGTACATAAATTACAAGAAATTCTATTTGAGGATGAAGACGAAGCTGCACAACGACAGCGTAAATTTCGGTGGAAAAATTTAGACAATTCGTTCAACCTTGAAATTAATGAAAATAATGCCACAGAAACAAAACCTGAAGAAGAAGGTAGTGATGATGAAAACGAACATTTATGGAGAAAAATTCGTTTTGAACGCGAACAGGCGATAAAGGATCTTTTTTTAAATGAAGTACATATGTTATTCATAAGTTTGGTGTAGGTATAACTAAGAAAGAAATTTATTTTTAGAATATCTTAGAAGCGAGCACCTCGGATGTAACTTCCAAAATAAATGATATTAGAAATGTAACCAGGGTAAATATGTCGAAATCTATCGTCGATGGGTCTGAAGAAAAAGAGAAGTCTCCATTTTTGATATCGAAAGAACTTATCAGATCTGAAAGCGCCAAAGCTCGAAGCTCATTTYTGCTAAGGAATAAAAAGGTTTTATCGAAAACAATATATTCGGTTAAAACCAGTAGCAACGATGTAAATACGTCACCAGACAAGATAGGAGTTAAAACGACAAATTCTAACAAATTTGTTTTTACTACGTTAACATTTGAAGAACAAGAGGTATAATATCACATAACCTTAATCATATAACATTTAACGTTTATCCCATATTTATGTTAGACTTTAAAAAGGAAGGCCGATGATACGATTGGAGGTATCGACACCAAAATTATTAAGAAGGCTAAAACCGAAACAAA